AAACTATAAGGAAAACCATGCTTTTGAACCAAAACAACTTAACTTTACACTAAAAGATGCTGATACTGAGCAAATGGCTAATCTATTCTTTAGTTTTCTATTAATGTAGCTGAAAATAATCAAGTCTAAGAATTGGCATTGGAAATAGCACTTTCAAAAAGTATAATATATACATAAGAAAAATGAGAGAAATTGCCTCTAAAGATTATAAAATCTGAATTATAAGAAAAATTTTAGTAATAAAAAAGAAATAGCATTTCCAAAGTAAAAGGCACACGGAAAAACTGTTCCAAAGTAGGAGCCACAGTTATGAAGGAGGAGGAGAAAAGGTCGCAATAATGTCCAATAGTTACTTTCTAGCCGTGGCAGCATAGACAGATACTTCCAAACCAGAAATACAACTTGAGGAAGGGAGAGCACATAAACTTGTACTTTTACCACATACAGCACACACAAAAAAGGAAAAAGCAGCAATCTATGAACAGAGGTGCACAGCTCAATGGCAGGGTATAGGCCTTGCAATGTGAAGCCCAGACTTTAATTCCCCACCAACACAGAAGAGAAAGAAAACAAAAATAATCTATAAACATGAGTCACACAAGAAAAGCCAGAAACTAACAAAACAGACAGACACATAGACAAAGCAGGCTTAAAGATACATTTATAACTGTTGCTCACACGTGGAAATACACTGTCCCGTGGAGTCAGGTTGGAACTTGGCTGGACAAGGTTGAAGTCTGACAGTTCTTGATAGCCTGTGCTCGGTCTATGATGGTGGACCCCGTCTTCGAAGCAGGGTGTCCTCTCTGAACCCTAAAACCCGCTCAGGTGTATCACATGGCCCTCAGGGAAGATCACAGGCCTGATACTCTCCTGATAAGAAACCTGCTCAGGGACCGTTTGTCCCTTTTACTTTGATGTTGGTTGTGGTAGTGTGTTTGTGTGTTTATCTACTTTTATTTTTGCTTTATTAAAGTTATTTATTTTCCTGTGTGTAGTTAGCCTTCTTGGGTTGTATTTTCCCTTCTAATATCTTCTATAGGGCTGGATTTGTGAGTAAGTACTGTTTAAATTTGTTTTTGTCACTGCATATCCTGTTTTCTCCATCTATGATTATTGAGAGTTTTGCTGGGTATAGTAGTCTGGGTTGACATCTGTGTTTTCTTGGGGTTTGCATGATATCTGTCGAGGGACCCTAGAGAAGATAATTAAGTCTCATTCAGCATGGCAAACAGAATAGACACCAGAGGCAGTGGAAGACAAAGAACAGGACAGGAGCCTACCATAGAGGTCCTCTGAAAGGCTCCACCCAACAGGGGATTAAAGCAGATACTGAGACTCATAGTCAAACTTTGGGCAGAGTGCAGGGAATCTTATGAAAGAAGGGGGAAACAGAAAGACCTGGAGGAGACAGGAGCTCTGCAAGGAGACCAACAGAGACAACAAATCGGGGCCCAGAGGGGACTGCAGAGACTGATGCACCGACCAAGGACCATGCATGGAGAGGACCTAGACCCCTTGCTCGGATGTAGCCCATGGCAGCTCAGTCTCCATGGGGGCTCCCAAGTGGAGCAGGGGCTGCTCCTCTCATGGACTCCACTGCCTGCTCTTTGATCACCTCCCCCTGGTGATGTGGTCTTGCCAGGACACAGAGGAAGCAGATGCAGATAGTCCTGATGAGACTTCATAAGCCGGGATCAGATGGCGGGAGAAGAGACCCTCCCCTTTCAGTAGACTAAGGGAAGAGGATAGGGGGAAAGAAGGAAGGAGAGTAGGACTGAGAGAAGATGAAGAAGAGGGCTACAATCAGAATATAAAATGAATAAATTGTAAAAAATAAATAAATAAATAAATAAATAAATAAATAAATAAATAGATAAATAAATAAATAAATAAATAAAGAAATAAAGAAATAAAAATTTAAAAAGAAGAAAAGAAAACCTGCTCAGCAAGCACCTGGGGATTCCTGGAAATATCCCACCCAATGCTGAGGAAATCTTATTGTTCAGCAGTGACCTACAATTGTTCTTGGAGATCTTCCGCCATCCACAGGATAGTTAGGTGCTATGTTCTCCATCTCTTGATAGGACCTTCTACTGCATGTAAAAGAGATGCTGAACCACTACGTGCAAATCAGGCATTCCTAGCACCCCTGACCTCACTGAGTCAAACACACCCACCCTCGAAAACCCTCCCACTGCTCAGTTTGTTAAATCCCTGATTTCACATGTAATAAACAAATGCAGGAGCTGCTTGCTGCACGATACCTCAGCTTTCCATCATGGCCGCATGAGATTCGCCATTTAATCAGGGGAGAGAGGGCTCATCTCCTCCCTGGAGAACCACCTCTAAATGCCCTGAGCTCTGCCGACAGGCAGCTGCCCTCCCGGGCTGCTGTGAGCTTCTGGGCTACTCTGGGTTTGACTGCTGGCCCGCTCTGCCATAGACCAGCATGTCAGCACCAGACAGCCTCTCAAGCCTGCCCCATTGCTAGACTGGTGCGGACCTCCAGCAAAGCGCCCATCGGCTACATTAGGCCACTGGGCCTGCACCTTGCCAGGCCCAGGGAGCCTACCAGGCACAGGCTTTGCCCCCACTCTCTTAACAGGGCTGTAACACTTTTGTACTTTACTGGCTTTTAGAGCTCCCAGACCTCGCGGCCATCTGATACTGTCAATCTCATTTAAGAGAGATAAATTGTAACACTCAGGGAAAAACTCTTTCCATACCCCAGTCCAGCACACAGGTGTCACCCTAAAGCGCTACAGTGGTTCCTGAGAAACCTAGAACCTCATATCTATCCAGAAGCCTGGGCCTCTGGGTGGTATTCAGCCTGGTGGAACCTGGCAGCAGCCACTCAGGAGAATGTCAGATGACAGCCACATCCCGAGGAATACCCAAGGCCCCAGAGGTCCCCCTAACAAAGCAGGACCACCCAGGCTGCCGCCAGATGGAGAATGACACTCTACTTACTTTAACCCTTCCATCAACTTACGATGGCCATCCAAATCATAATGTGAATGTGAGTCACCTCAATAACAGGAGGAAACACTGACATACCAAAGGGCTCACACATGTGTGTACACACACGAACAGACTTGAATACTATGTAATTGATTCTGGAAGGCAGTACTTGAAGAAGAGGGTTTCACACGAGGTTTCTGTGTGATTTGGAAGGGTACTCTGGGAAATACCAAAAGCCTTCTAAAACTTCTTTGTTATGCTTCATTTCACTTCAGGTCTACTGAGGAGGACACTAGCGAGCTTCTATTTAACAGCCACATGCACAAGCACACACTTCACAAATGACAGGGAACAGGGAAGAAGCAGAAGAGATAGAGGAACGAGGAAGGATCATTAGGACCCACACATCAGGAAGGAGAGAGGCTTGAGTGGAATTGAGATGACCGCAGTAGGAGAAGAGGGGCTGAGTGACTAATGGCTAGCGGAGAAGCCACAGGTCCACACAGAGATGGGAAGGAGCAAAGGCAGAGAGGGCATCTGCACCACTATGTCGCCAAAGGAAGTGCTCTTGGGTGGAAGACATGCAGTTCACAGCATGGCACAGGCACGGAATCCTAGTGTGTCCTCTAAGGCCCTTTTGTTTCCCAAAATCCCTCCAAATATTACAATAACAATATTATGTAGCATTTATTACAAAATAATATTATCATAGATGATAGGATAGGTGGTAATATTCAAGCAATAACTAAAAAGGGGCCATTTTGAGCTTTAAAGTGAACTGAACTCCTTTAGGAAAGTCTCAGAATCTAGTCAAGTGCTTCTCGGGAAATGGAGGCTACAATGATTTAACCTCCAGAGAGTAAAATTATACTCCCTACCCAGCCTTATTGTGAAATTAGTACTGAAAAGCTTCTAAACATGTTGGCAACCTTGCAGAAGCAAAAAATAAAGATACTGTCGACTGATAAAGTATTATCATATATGTGCTGGTCCAGGGCAGTTTTCCAAAACAAATAAAAAACAAAGAAAAGTTAATAATGAGCAAAACCAATAGAATTTAGCCATACCCAACAGACAAAAGACACAACAAGCCAAAATCTTTTCTGATCACAGAAGAACTCTCTTCTTAGCTGATACCTCAGGGAGAACACTAGACTGAAGAGCTCTGTGCCAGCTTGTCCCATTTGCAAGAATTAACAATGCCCATGATCACTTGGAACCAATGTTTCTGTGTACCATGACTATATAAACTTTGCCAAATCAAATGTTCTCCCCTCATCGACAAAAATTCTAAGTAACAAACTACATTGAGAAAGCAGGACTACAAAACGGATTGCTGGGCTGGCAGGCACAGATGTGTAAGACGCTGTCAGCAAGTCTGCCAGCCGTGCCTGCCTACAGTTTTCCAAGAATGGATGCAACTTCTATCTGATGCAAAATTAGTCTGGAGAGCTCTGTGTTCTTCCCCATTTTCCCCACTGCAAATACAATTGTGTTTGTGAGCAAGAGGACTATACATGAAATTTAATGCCCAACAACCTTAAAATGACCCTCAGTTTCCACTCCACTCCACTTGAGGGATCCAGTTCTTGCCTCTCAATCTCTACTGTGTCTTTCCAGCCAAGCTTATTCAGTTGGTTTTTAACATTTTAGGAAAAGGTGAAAACTTTTTCTTCATTTGAATAACTTCATTTGAATCATGTGTGCTGTGCCCTTCATGTTGTAACAGATACACATTCACAAATATACACTGTGTCCAATCTTCAGGACTCTTTAAACAATTACTTGTTTTAATTAACTGGTGTGTGATTTCATCGTATGAAAGCACTAGAACTAAGATCAAATGACTCTGCAAATCCTACTTTAATAATAGAATATGGTAATTCAACTGATAAATTCTTCCAGAGCCACAAATAATCAGAAACTGAAAACTATTAAAATATTATTTGCTCTGTGGGAATTACTTATTACGCGTTTACTCAACCATATCTGCTGAAAGACACAGAAACACTACCGAAGTTAATTTAAGGACTTACCAATTTCCCTTGCAATTCTGACAGCTTCATCTGCATCCTGTAAAGGCAGGAAATGAGACTCAACATTAATCCCATGAGGCATTGCACAATGTCTTTAGGGCAGTCATATATTGCACTACTGTCTCCTCTGATTCATTTAATGTTCAATTTTACAACCTTCTAACCCTTTTCATTCAGAGAAATGTAAAATTAATACCATAAGTGGAATGTAAATTCTCCTTCGTCGTTATTATATTAAGAAACTCAAAGCGGTTTGAAACGAGCTGGCAGGAAACATGACCAGAATTGCCAATGACTCGGTGCAGTTGCCGGAATTTAATGGCAGAATTTAGATGTTTACAATCAATACTGCATCGTAAATCAGATCATTAAAGCTTGTCTGCAGTCCCTTGTCTGTTTACACCCTGTGTTTTCCTGGGTTCTGTCAGCAGGGGGAGTTGATTGTCTATTGTTGAGTATTTCCATCAATTTTCTAGAAATAAGTAAATTTCCAGTATCTGTAGGAATTACCAATTGTAAAAAAAAAAAACAGACAAAACCCTTTTGTTTTCCGTTATCTTTTATTTTTAATCCATTTCTTTAGGTATCTATTTTATCTTTACAGTTATGTACATAAACTAAAATGCAATGAAACTGTGAAGAGAAAGAAATCTCAAAGCGAAGTGAGGGCTCCTTCCTGAAGACCAAGGTCAGTGTATACTAACCCAGACGTGTCCCTGACACTTGTCAACAGTGACACTTTAAAGCATCTAAAAGCTGCTCAGGCTAAGCCCCTCACACACCACGAATTCTCACCTGACATGTGCTGTGCAAACTCTATGCACACATTTTCCATGTAACAGTGAAGAGTCTGAGCTTCAGCCACCTTCAAGTCAATCACTTCTCTAGCCCAGTGACATGATGCGGGCACAGCCATTCCTAGAGCCACCAGTTGGTAAGTACACGGGGACTGCCACACAAGCTCAGAACACTCAAATGAAGAGCAATCACAACAGAACCCTCCCCCAACTAGGACCAGAGGAAATAACTGGTTCATTTATGCCAGTTAAAAAAAAAAGAAAGAAAAGAGAGAGAGAAAGAAAGAAAGAAAGAAAGAAAGGAAGGAAGGAAGGAAGGAAGGAAGGAAGGAAGGAAGGAAGGAAGGAAGGAAGGAGGAAGGAAACTCTTCCTTAAAAGCCTCAGCACCCAACACGATCCCTGAGTAAGGAGCCCGGCAGGGGAAGTTGTCAGAAAACTTTAATTTCCTTTCATTAGCCAGTCTGCTCCACAAATAGGTGCCTGTTAAGTTCAAAGCAACCCTGAAAGCAACATCGGTTTTAAGTCTTTTTTTACTCGAAGCAGTCACATCTGCTAATGAGACTTTCCAAATAACAATTGTTTTCAAGTCAGAGATAGAGCTCTACCTCCCCCAAAAAACAAGGTTTCCTGCCTTACCACACCTCGCTGTTTGCACCGACCCTACATTATCCAAATTTTAGCTTAAAAGAATTAAAAAAAAAAAAAATCCATGAAAGGGGTCATTTAAGAATGTACGTGGTTTCCACACACACACTGAACTGGAAGGTTCTTTGTTCCAGCTGGTGACAGTTATTGGAGAATGCTTGCCTTTAATAGCCTCTGTCAGGAAGTGTTAAACCTGCCAAATCGAACAATTAGTGCCTCTTAGACAAAATACAGGAAGAGTAAAGACTGAGGAGGACGGGCTTATAATCAGCAAGGAGGAAACTTTTCACATTTCAGCCAGTATAGAATGGTGTGTTTGCCAAAGAGGGTCTCAGAGAAATTAAAGTGCAAGCTAAAAGCATGGAGCTCAGGGAAAGCCAACCGTGCCCAGAGCCTATTTTTGTCATGCATTTATATATGCACATGACACACACATATGCCATGCTCCACATGTAAAGACAGTTACATTTATGTCAGCGAAACTCCTCAAAATTCCTTCTCTGCCACCAAACAATCTTAACTTTCAAATAAGGCATATGTTTAAGGTTTCCTACTATGAAATTCAATTTCTATAACATGAACTTTCAGGTAAAATCAAATGGCCCTAAAAATTATTTATTCTTTTGTCATTCATTGTGCCAAAAATGTCATTGAGGATCTATTATGTATTGGACATTATAAAACATTATTATCGTTTTCAAAAAGAAACTAAACTCACTCAGAACATTTAGTTTTACTATGGGATTCATAAGCTTACACTGGCAATAGCCCCTAAGTCAATGGTCCTACCATGACACCAGGAAAGCTTCTTACAGGTTATGAACAGAATAAACAACATTTAATAACGCTGTGAAAGATCCACTGATAGTTCAGAAAAACAGATGGTTTTAAGTCCAATAAAAACAGATCTAAAGGGAAATATAAAACACATCCAACCTGAGCCATCACCCCAGCAGTGGAAGTGTGACACAGGTAGGAGATCCCACTGAGTGTGTGACACAGGTAGGAGATCCCACGGAGTGTGACACAGGTAGGAGA